GTTTCTCTGCAGCAGGGACTGGAGCACTTGTCAGGATAGAAGGACAAATAGTCCGGGCAAAATACTGTCAAAATCTGCTGCCCTCTGCCAGAAAGTTGTCAATGGGAAGAAGGTTTACCTTCCAACATGACAATGGCCCAAAGCACACAGCAAAACTCAGCACACTGTGGCTGAAGGAGAAAAAGCTGAATGTCTTTGAATGGCCTCGTCAGAGCCCAGACTCAAACCCCACTGAAAATCTGTGCAATGACTTGAAGACTGCAGTCCACAAACACTCACCATCACATTTAACTGAACTTGAGCAGTTCTGCAAAGATGAGCGGGCAAATACTGCAAAGTCTAGATGTGCAGAGTTAGCAGAGAAAAATCCCAGCAGACTAAAGGCTGTAATTAAAGCAAAAGGTGGTTCAACAAAATACTGACACAAGGGGCTGATCATTTTTCCAACTCAGTGATTCTAGGTTTATTATTATTATTATATATTTTTTTCTGACATTTTGGTATTATTATCTTTCACTTGGATGTTATAAGTTGCACTGAGTAAATACAGCTGGATAAAACAAAAACTTCATTTCAGGCTGCAAAGCAACAAAATGTGGTTATTTTAAATGGGGTGAATATTTTCAATACCCACTGTATATCTAAAATATTTATTTTACATTTAAATAATTAAAATGGTTTATTAATTTGATATGAAATTATACTTTGACTGATTGAAAAATAAATATATTTATTATTATTTATAAAGTATTAATACTACTAAGTATGTATGGTACTATCTTTTATTTACACTCATTTTAATTAAAAAAATTAATTGTCTGGACAAGATTTTTTACTGAATGTATTATGAGAATGATGAAAAAATATGATGATAATAATAATAATAATGTTTCTGGACACATTACGTTACCAAGAATTTGGTTTTAAAATGTGCTTGATTTTCATGAAAAAAATGAGCATAATTTTTTTAATGCAAAATATAATTTCTTATTTTTTCTTTTGATTGTTAAATATGGGCATGTGTTTTGTGCATTATTGTTGTAATGGAGGCCTTCATGCAGTAAGGTTATCATGAATATTCAAAATTATAATTTATGAAAATTATTGTGAAAGAGTTAGTTTGGAGGGATAAATGTACTGTAGTACTGTACATGTTTGATATTTTTACACTCTGCAGTAGGCGGTCATGGGGACAAAAAAAATGCAATATTATTTTAGTAATATTTATATATTATTTAATATGTGTGCCATTTTTGTTAATATTTTCATTTTTAGTTTTACTTTCTATATAATGAAAATGATCCAAGTGCACTTGTTTTTGTGTTTTCTGTCGAATCTGCATTAATAATGCATCTTTTTTTCATCTGCAGTACTCCATTTGTAAAGAACCTCTGATAGAGCTGTCAAACCCTGGAGCGAGTAGTTCATGGTTTTACTTAACCAGTGACGATGAGTTCATCATAAAGACTGTGCAGCACAAAGAAGCTGAATTTCTGCAGAAGCTGCTTCCAGGTTACTACATGGTGAGCCACACAATCACCACAATAACAAGGAAGAAACTGCACTATACACTGCTATCTCAATTCAGTTGCTCATATTTACGGTTATTATATTAATAGAGAAAAAAACAACTACGGTTAATAATTTTACAGCACAGTTACTTTACAGTTGTTTTATGGCCCCGTTTGCTGTAGAAATACAGGACTACACTACATATTAAAACACATTAAAACACTAAATATTAGGCCTATGTAATATAATATATAATTATTAATTAATTTTATTTAATTGTCAAATTGTGATTATTTTTAATTATTAAATGTGCAAAAATATTGCATTTAGCTTGGCCTCCACTATTTTCTGACAATTGTACATTAAATTTACAGAATTTTTTTTATACCGATAAATGTTCTTTTCTAGATTAAAAATTAATCTTGTCCTTCCTGATTGCAGAATCTGAATCAGAACCCGAGGACCCTCTTACCGAAGTTTTACGGGCTGTACTGTATTCAATGTGGCGGCGTTAATATCCGATTGGTGGTGATGAACAATATCCTGCCTCGCTCTTTGAAAATGCACTACAAGTATGACTTAAAGGGCTCCACTTACAAACGCAGAGCGTCACGGAAGGAGCGCACCAAACCCTCCCCGACCTTTAAAGACCTGGACTTCCAGGAGATGCACGAAGGTCTTTACTTTGATGCAGACACGCACAACGCCTTGGTGAAGACTCTTCAGAGAGATTGTCGGGTGAGTCGTGTTGTTGATCACTGCAGAGCTCTTCAGGATTAAAAGTGGTTTGTGGTTATGATTTCCATTCATTTTATTCCACAGGTGCTGGAAAGCTTTAAAATCATGGACTACAGTTTGCTGCTGGGCATCCATGTTCTGGACAGGAAGCTGAGGGGGAGAGGCGGGATAGGGGACAGTAAGCGTCAGGGTGGGCAGAAGGTCCTGTACTCCACAGCCCGCGAGTCCATTCAAGGAGACGGCAAAGCAGCCGAGACTCTTCCTGATGCCGATGACGACACGTGAGTGGAGTAGAGAGAAATTAAAGACAAAGAATGTCAGACATGCCAAATATTTATTTGTACACTACTGTTCAAATGTTTGGGGTCAATACTTTTTTTTTTAAAGAAAGTAGTAATTTTATTAAAGCTGCAGTCCGTAACTTTTTTTGGTTCAAAATGATCCAAAATCAATATTTGTGCAAGTACATAACCAGCCAGTGTTCAAAACTATCGCCTTACTTTAGCCCGATTCCGCTGCAGCCGTGCCGACTCACAACCCACGCAAGCTAGATAATTACGCACACAGCTGCAATGCCAGGTTTTCAAACAGAGATGGCGACAAAGAGGCAAAACTTACGGACTGCAGCTTTAAGTAAGGATGCATTAAATAGATTGAAAGTGGCAGTTGTCATGGTGGGTCAGGCAAGGAAGAGGAGACATGGATCTATGTGCAGCCTAAATACTTTTATTAACAATAAAAACAAATGAACATAATCCAGTAATGTAAAGAGTAGCAGAAACCGCAACAGCTTTACACAAAACATGCAAAGTTGATACCGAACAAAGGACTGAGGAACCTGAGGGCGTATAAATACACAGGCTGATGAGGAACTAAACAAGACACAGGCGAACATAATCAACGAACCAATGAGTAACTACGGCAACAAACTAGTGATAGAACAAAGGACACAGGAACAAAACACATGAAAACAAGGTGAAATTGAAACTAAAAGGGAACATGACAGCAGTAAAGACAGAAGATCTCAGTTTCAAATAAATGCTGCTTTTTGAAATTTCTATGTGTCAAAGAATCCTGAAAATAAAAAAGTATCATGGTTTCCACAAAAGAATTAAGCAGCTCAACTGTTTTCAACATTGATAATAATGAGAAATGTGTCTTGAACAGCAAATCAGCATATTAGACTGATTTCTGAAGGATCATGTGACACTGAAGACTGGAGTAATGATGCTGAAAATTCAGCTTTGATCACAGCAATAAAATCACATTTTAACATGTATTCAAATAGAAATATGTAATAATTGTTTTTCCAATGTTACTAGTTTTACTGTATTTTTGGTCAAATAAATTCATCCTTTGTGAGACATTTAAAAAATTTACCATATATATGTGAAATAAAACTTCTCTGATTATGTTGAAATGTTGAATAATGTTGAAAAGCTGAAAATATGTCCTCCATGTTTCTAAAATATTTCTAATACGTTTTATGACTGACCTTGGATTAGTTTTGAAATAATCATGTGTTTTTGTTCTAGATTGGGTGGCATTCCTGCTAAACACAAAGACGAGAAGTTGCTGATCTTTCTGGGGATCATTGATATCCTGCAGTCCTATAGGTATGAATCACCTGACAAAAGATAAGAATAATTACTATTTCAATTAATGATGACTTATTTGAATATTGAAAATTTCTATCTCATATATACAGATTTATAAAGAAGGTTGAGCACTCGTGGAAAGCTCTTGTGCATGATGGCGTATGTATTTTTTCTTTTTTACATTAAATATATTTTTATATACTTCTATTTGAACTTTATCATGATTTCTTTGCTACTTTGCATGCTAGGACACAGTATCTGTCCATAGACCTAATTTCTACGCTGACAGATTCCTGAAGTTCATGGGCACCACAGTATTTAAAAAGATTCACCGTAAGTTTAATGCTTATTGTTTACAATGGAATTCAGTTTGAATGAATATGATCATTTGAAATGATGTACCAAACCTCACATTTTCCCCTCTTTCTTTTTACTTTTAGCTCTCCGTGGTGCGTCCTCGAGAAAGAAGAAAAACTCTATCCAGCCGTATAGGTCGGCCTCACAGGAAGTTCTGTCGACTGTAAAAGAAGAGAGTCAAGAAGAGAGGAGGGCGCAAAGCCTGGAAAACCTCGATGATACAGGTGCTTATTGACTTTGAAGAGAATTAATACACACGTATAAAAATCATACGTTTTTTCTTTAAGGAACAGTCCACCCCCAGAAATGAAAATTCTATTATTATTTATACACCCTCAAATCGTTCCAAACCTGCATGCTGTTATTTTTGCCATGGAGTTTGGAACAATATGAGTGTGAGTAAATAATGACAGAATTTTCATTACTGAAAATGGATCTATCTTTGTTGAAATAAAATAATTTCATCCCTTGTGACAAATAGTGCACTTCATTGTATTAAATGTGCACTTGCAGTTTACTTCAAATCTTAAAAGTATATATATCTTTAAAGAAATACACTTATTTTGATGTGTTGACTAACACTATAGCGCATCTAAAGTACTAGATTATAACTTTAACCGTAGTGTGTTATTTGATATTAAATTTAAAGCTAATATATTTTAAATTGCAACTTCATCATTCTAAATGTGTAATTACAAGTATATTTAAATACACGACTTACAAGTTTCAACAAAATTGACATTAAAGTATATTTTAGTTTACCATAAATGCTTGTCAGTACATTCAGCAGTGCACCCTAACTGTAATGCCCCTGTGTCCTTATTTGGTTGTTCCTGTCCTCATTATTAGTTAATTACCTTGATTGATTTGAATCCTTGTCATCCTGCCTGCCTCCAAACACCTTGACCGTGACACTAACCACATTTCAAAGATAATAGAAATATAACTAAGTGGGTCAAAAAAGCACACTAAAGTTCAACTAATTGCATTTAATATCAATTTTAACTATAATACATTACAGTTTAATAAGTACTCTTAATACAATAAGTGCTCTTAAGTATGCTAAAGTGTACCTTTGTTTCCATTCAATATCATATTTTTACACATTCAAGCACCCTAACCACATTTCAAAGATAATAGAAATATAACTAAGTGGGTCAAAAAAGCACACTAAAGTTCAACTAACTGCATTTAATATCAATTTTAACTATAATACATTACAGTTTAATAAGTACTCTTAATACAATAAGTGCTCTTAAGTATGCTAAAGTGTACCTTTGTTTCCATTCAATATCATATTTTTACACATTCAAGATTCATCGTTTCTTCCAATGCTGCTTCTTTTTGACAGAAACACACTCCTCTCAGAAACCTGATGTTATTCCAAGCTCCACCAGACTCAACGCGGCGATTTCAGCCGCCACTATGTCTTCTAATTCCTCTCTAGATGATGTGAAGACTGAACCAGAAACCAGGTGTTTACCTACAAACACACACACTTTCCCATCAGACAGACGTATTAGCAGAGGTGTAAAGACTTTTTGGTAGTTTTACTGAGTGAGTAACAAAGATATTAGCAACTTTTGCTCCCTATTTCACTATATTTTTTAATAAGCATCTGTACCTTTTGCTCCACTACATTTGTAATGAGTGTTGCAATTACACATTACATTTTGCATGGCACCTAGCTTTTTCTGCAGCAAAAGAAGTGATATCGCCAACTACAGGGCACTGAAAGTACTATATCTTGTGCGTTTTGCACGTACTCACCCAAACTTGTCAACAAGGCTACTTTATGTGAATGTGAGTTTCTTAGCAAGTAGCTGTGAATCACTGGTGTTTTATATCCACCTTATTTTTCCCGTGAGAGTGTTTTATCACATAAATTTTATGTGTCTGGCTTCTGGTCTCATCCGCTTCCAGCTATTTTTAGCTGTACAATACAGCTAATTTTGCTGCTTGATATTGCAAACTGGTGTGTCTTACCATTTTCTTTTAATGTATTATCTTAATTATGAACACACTGGTTAGTAGTGCAAACAGTTTTACCGTTTATTGCACGTTGTTATTCTTCTCGTTATTTCCCTACAGCGGCGAATGAACCGGAAGTCTCACACATTCACAGAAAACGGCTTATTCACGTTGAAAAATAAGGTGGATATGAGATGAGGGCATGACTGCAGCCGGCAATGAGGCCGAAACCAGCACAGCCAGTGCAAGAAGGCTTTGACTTTTTCATTTTACTTATCATTATTTTATTTATCTGTTATACTGAAGAGACTTTTTTTGAAGGATATTGTTTTATTTATTTATTTTTTTGCAATTTTGAGGTCTTCAGTTTTATTTTGGTTTTAGAAAATAAAAGTTATTGCTCTCCTCTCAAATCAACTCTTTCTTATTTTTCACTGGCATGTCTCTTTGAGTGCATCTTTGAGTACAAAGTATTGTTTTCATGTACTCTTTACACCTCTGCATATTAGTTTAAATCAAAATGAACTTCCATATTCCGTTACAGATCTTCCTCTCCTTTTTTTTTTTTTTAGCTAAACACAATGTGATTGGCACCTTCTTGTTTGACTGATGTCACTGTGTTTTTTGTCCTCAGAGATGATCGTAGGACGTCCAGCTCGACTCTTGCATTGGAGGATAGCACTCTTCTTGCTTCAGACTCACAGGCGAGCACACCTGAGTCCGGTCTGGACGTCTACTTGGTCAGTAATTGTTGAGTCAAGTCACATTGGTTCTCACCAAATGACACGTGATCTGAAGTTCCCCTGGAACTCAAACTCTTTTGTGTCATTCGCTCCAGATCCGTGTTTGTGGCTCATATTGTTTTCTTTTTTAGTGAAGTGTGAGGCCTTCTGAAGTGGACCGGACCATCCAAACATGTACTAGATGTAGAAACAGTGGACATGCTGTCTCACCCGCCACAATTTTGCACAACGGATATCTCTAGCTGCTAATACACATGGACTGAGAAAGGCCTTATGTTTGAAACAATGGCAGAGCGATTGCCACACTATAGTACTGCAGTGCCTTACACTGTCTGTGCACTTTGTACCTACTTGCAAGCACAAGTTTGTTGTATAATAATAGTTACACTCCCATTAGACCAGTGTGCTGTAACGGTCTCATAAACACGCTGGTTGGTATGCATGTTAAAGGCATGATACCTGATTAAAGCATGTGTCATACAAACAAAGAAATAAGTTTATTATATAATAACACTGGTATAATTATATTGTGAGCACTCCTGACTTGTATTGTGTGAGTAATGATTTCATGTAATCATTACAGTACAGTGACTAGTACCAAAAGTTAGTAACATTGTCAATAGTGAGCATGGATTGATTATTATGTCTGCTCATGTGATTTTGATGCACAATCAGCATAATATAATGACATGGGGGTATTATAATGGTAAATGTTACTTTTTTGTCTAAAGATTTACATGGGTTTAGACGTTAAATACCATAAATCTTTAAAAACGTTTTATAAAATGTATTTAAATTTAAATGTATTTTGATTAGAGTAATATATGAATTAAATGCGCTTTTATGTAGAATGTTTTTAGCTGCTATTATGCTATTAAATGCTGCATCTTCAGAAGAACTTTTCCACTTTTTCTGCATCACATGAGCACCGTGTGAATACTATCCATATAATTCAATATGACTGACGAGCTGCAAGACACATTAATGCACTAATCATTTTTATTTTAAGTTATTCTAATACTTATTTATAATTATAACATAATTAAAGATAGCAGTTATAATGTCTCACTCTCACACCAGTGCTCTTCATCTGTTACTGTTACAGTCGCATGCTGTCCACTAGGGGGTGTATTTGTGTTTGTTTCAGTAGGACAAATAATCTTTGAATAAGCACGAGTATTTTACTTTTTATTTATATTAATGTAATGGTGTTCAAACTAATATATTATGTATATGATATATTGTATTATATATGAATATGTTTATTACAAGGAGATAAAGGCCCTTTTAAAGGATAATATGCATATTTTTGGTCTCAAACCGAAAAAAAAAATATATCTTTTATACATATTTATATTTTTATATTATATATGTATTAGAATAAGAATGTTGATTCAAGCAGCACAATTCATGTGAAATGTGACAAATGTGTAAGTTTATATGATTAAAAAACATTTAAATATAAAGATAGGGAAATTGATCATGCAAATACTGCTAAATGTCACCATAAGCATATTTGAGCAGCAAGATATTTTGAGTGATTTTAACTACATAGCTATGAAAATGACCTCTTTAGCAGTTTTTTGTTTGTTTCAAATCACTTTGGGCATTTCTTAACATCTGAATTATTCACAATTATCACATCACAGTGTAGCTTGAAAATCATAATAAGTATGATTAATGCAGGGAATATAATTATCTGTATAAATTGTTTTTTAAAAAAAAACATTTTAACATTCAGCAAATGTAATGTGTTTTATTACATTTTATATTCTGACCCTTATGATAACACAAGGTTTCAAAGCATCTAGCCACGACACAATACTTTTAAATCATCAGACTTTAAAGATGACATATGATCCATATGGAGGCTTATGTGGTATGATTCAATCAGCTGGTCAGACATATGCGCACAGGTATGAATCAGAGCGGTCACGTGACTTGGGAATACGCTGTTTGGACTCACCTGCGAGTTCTTGGACACGCCCATACCTGGGAGATTCAGGAAATCTGGGATTGTACACAGAATCGAGCTGTTGAGTGTTTTGTCTTTAAGTGTCCAGTCACACATAGATCCTGCCGGACCCCGCGTGTCTCCGAGAGTTGATGGCTCTTCAGTACTGGACCCTCTAAAGGTACGTGCTTTCACTCTGGACGAGTTTTGGTGTTTTTGCTGTTTCCCTGTTGACTGGTTTCGGTTGTCTATTGTTTAGGGGAGGAGGCGGATAAAATTAAGTAATGTCAGATGAACATAGAACTGGCGCTTTTAATGTGAACTTGAATTCAGACTTGTATTTGATTTCGTCTTCTCTTGAACGCAGTTAGCAGCGTGTTTTAGGCCTAGCGTTACATGTCATGATATTATGTTCCCTGTCCTGCATGTTTCTCACGAAACTTCAGTGATTCCCCTCACGCGTAGTTTCATGTCAATACGCTGCGATGCTGAGAAGTGTAACTAAGCTTATTTTACTTTTTATCTTGGTAAACAAATCTATTTTATGATTAATTATCGATTGAATTTTTCAATTGTAAACAATTTAGAAGCTAAGAAAAAGTCTAAGAAATTGTATTCAAAAAGCAGCAGTAGTTTCGCATAATCTTGATTATTCTTAATAATAATAGGCTAATAATAAACTGCTTATAGGCTATTTGAACTTGTCTGCCGAATCTAAACAACATGTAGGAAAAACATAAAACAGGAAATGATATCATAGAGAGGACCCCCAAAGACCCATATCAAAATCACTACATTTTGTTAAAAATGTACTGTTTAATGTTTAAAATATAAACTTTTTAAGATCTAATTGTCTGTCTATATGCACAACGATTTATTAAATGTTTTTGAATGAAGTATCTTATGTTCATGGCTGTATTTATTTATTTGATTAAAAGTCCAGTAAAAACTGTAATACTTTGAATTATTATTACAATTTTAAATAACTGTTTGAATATATTTTAAAAAATGCTATTTTATTACTGTGATGTAAAGCTGAATTTTCAGCATCATTACTCCAGTCTTCATGATCCTTCAGAAATCATTCTGATATGATGATTTGCTGATCAAGAAACATTTCTTCTTATTATATCTTATTTAGTGAAAACTATTTTTGCCACTTAATATTTTTGTGTAAACCGTAATACACAACCGTTCATAAATTTTGGGGTAATTAAGATTTATAGCCTTACAAATGATTTTTATTTAAAAGAATTACTATTTATCAAAGAATCCTCAAATTAAAATGACTATTTATCAAGGAATCCTATGCAGTTTACATAAAAATAAGTATGTTAACTTTAGGAAAGTAGGAAGTTACGTAGTTTTTCCAAAAGTAGGAAAAACTGTTTTCAACATTCATAATATCAGAACTATTATTATTAATTAATAATAAGAGTAACAATAGTAACTGATCAAATTAAGCACCAAATCAGCATAAAAATTATTTTTACTGTATTTTTTATTAAATAAATGCAGCTGTGGTGACCAAAAGGGAAAAAAATATATAAAATCTCAATTATTCCAAACTCTGAACTGTAATGAAATTGTATTTGGTAGTACATGAAACATTATTCTGTGTTCAGTGTCTTACTGTCATTCGTCAAGTCCAGGTGTGGAATGTGATGGACTCATAGTTTTGGACAGTGACTCAGAGTTACTCGCATGAGGACAGCAGTGGTTAGAAAGGGACTGTTTCCCTTTCTGTGCTGCTGCTTGAATAACATTACTACAGGGTTATGCATATGTTTACTCAGTGACGCTGTCTGAGGTGTGATTGAAATATTACATGATTTATATGATGATTGAATATACATCTGTCAGAGAACAGCAGTACATGTGCATTGCATAATGTAGAGGTGATTCTGCGTGAGCCGAACACATGAGAAAGACCCCGGCTTACACTGCCAAGCAGCGCTTGCGTAAAGGCATTAAAAGACTTGGACAATAGTCGAATTACACAAGCATACACAAAATCCTTTACCTGTGAATTTCTGACATTTATACAAGGTTTAAAACATAAGGTTGTTTGCTTGCATTTAATATGAGCACAGCAGAAGCAGTAGACTAAAAATAGGGAATCGCTTTTGTTGCGTCTGGTTTCATAATGCATTTGAGTTCTTAAAGGGGTCATATGACGCGATTTCAATTTTTCCTTTCTCTAGAGCCGACTTTAGGGATTTTCTGAACTTTATGCGGTAAAATTCATTAGATGAGTGTTCTCAGAGAAATCTAAGTCTATTCTCACAAGCCTTGCAAAAGTTTCTAGATATTAAGAGTCTTATTATTTCATGGTGTTACTAATACTGGAACATTTTTGGTATCTTCTAAAAAATACTGTTCAGGATGTGACTGGTTTTGAATAGATGTTATTTGATGTGTCTGCTTTTCGTAGAATAGGAAACACTTCTGATACTGGTGCTATTTAATGTTCCTCAGGCATATTTCAGAATCTGTTCATTAGGGCTGCATGATAAATCGAAATGGAATCGAGATCGCGATTCGACAGAAGCTGCAATTGTCACGCGTATCTTTCAGTGAAGCACGGTTCTGTGATCAGCAGTAAATCTCCATACAAAGGCCAGAGGGCGCTCTCGCGCTGAAACTCCAAATACGCCTCGCAGAAGAAACCCAGAAAATGCCTATCGCTGCAGCTGAATAAACAGAAGATTCAACAGCTTTCATTGATTCAACGTGACTAAAAAACACACAACTACGGCAATATACGGTTTATCTGAGTTCTTATTATTATAATTTTCATTAAAATAAAGTATATTTATAATGCAATGCGACTGAGTCTGACGTGCCCGAGCAGATTTTACATTGTGTCAGAGTGGAGGACAAAGTTCATTTGTTCATGTAGGTCAACCGTTTGGAAGCACAGTATCAGCAGAATATGACTACAGGTGCATTTCTCAGTTATTATTAGTGGTGCTTGGTAATGCATGATTTTAGACTATTGCTTATATCTTGTTTCATACAAACCCTTAATCCTTAGTATTACACTTTGGTGTGAAACCTGTGCTGCATAAATTACACTTATTTAGGATAGTTCACCCAAAAATGAAAGTTAGGCCATCCTTTACGCACCCTAATGTTGTTCCAAAACAGCATGACTTTCTTTCTTCTGTGGAACATCAAAGAATGTTATTTATATTTTGAAGAATATTATTTAGTCAACAGTTACCTAAATGATTTTGGTTACCAACATTCTTCCAAATATGCAAGTATTTTAGAATGTTGGTGATCAAATAATTTTGGTGACTGTTAACAAAAATGTAAAAAAAAAAAAATGTTTTTAAATGTCGTCTTTCATGTTTCACAGAACAACAGGAGGGGAGTAAACGAAGACAGGATATGTTTTGGGGTGAACTATCCCTTTAAATTGTGTGGGTTGCTGATGAAAGGTGCACTTCTACGTTCTACTTTTCTAAGTGGCCTGACATATTACACACACACACACAGAAAGTATATTCCGCCAGTGTTGTTAAATACGCCTTTAATGCTTCTCTTAAACTGCTGTAATGTGAAGTGGTTACACCAGCAGTGATATTGTGAAAGTGCTATTGTGCTATTATTATGTCTAATGTAAGTGTATTGAGAGCCGTGGCCGTGGAGACGTATACAGACATGCCTGTATGAGTGAGGTCACAACACTGCTGACTGTACCATTCATAGTATGTGATTCATTTGTGTTGTTATTGGAAGGTGCTTATGGCGCTTTTCCACTGCGTGGTACGACTCGGCTCGGTACGGCTCAGTACGGCACGGCACGGCTCGGTTTGGCTCGGTTTGCGTTTCCACTGCAGTTTAGTACCGCTTTAGAGTGGGCGGGATTATTCACATGTCGTTATAGTTGCG